TTGGCAGTTTTTGGCCATGGCTGGGTTTGAACCTGCCACCTCCGGCACATAGGGGCGGCACCCTACTCCTTTGAGCCACAGGTACTACCCCCTGTATATATCTTTTTGTACTTGTATGAGGACTTCTATAGGATAAATTTCTAGAATAAATTATGTAAGCCATTGAAAAATCTGCATTTAGAATTTTAACCAAATCTCCATGTGGAATGACTAAATTATGTTATTCTACCACTTACCTCTGTGGCTGGACTAAAATTGGCTTTCTATACAAATTCTTTTTACAGTAGCTCTTGGGTTTTGGTTTTGGTTTTTTTTTTTTTTTGGTTTCTGGCTAGATCTGGGTTTGAACCCACCACCTCTGGTGTATGGGGTGAGCGCCTTAATTCTTTGAGCCACAGGCACTGCCCATTGTTTTGTTTTTTGGAGACAAGGTCTCATTCTCATCCAGCGTAGAGTACAATGGCCTTATCCATACATAGCTTACTGCACCCTCAAACTCCTGGGCTCAAGCAGTCCTCTTGCCTTAGTTTCCCAAGTAGCTTGGACTATAGACACATAACACCATGCCTGGCTAATTTTTAATTTTGTTAATAGAGACAGGGTCTTGCCATGTTGCCCAGGCTGCTTTAGAACTCCTACCTCAGTCTCCCAAAGTTCTAGGAGTATAGGCATGAGTCACCACAACTGCCCCCTAAGTTTTTTTTTTTTTTTTTTTTTTGCAGTTTGTGGCTGGGGCTGGGTTTGAACCCGCCCACCTCCAGCTTATGGGGCCGGCGCCCTACTCCTTTGAGCCACAGGTGCCGCACCCCCCTAAATTTATTTCTAGGAGAATGCATCAGTATAAATACTGTTTAGGATGCCATTTATGCAAGTACCTTCCTGCATAAGGACAGTAATATTTTTATCTATATCAGGGTTAGCTAGCTTCTCCAGAAATAAGGTATAAATGGTAAAATGAGATACAACTTTTCAGATTCAGTGTTCTTGTGATTCAGGATTTTTCATAGACATTTATTTCCTCCCTCCCTTTTACAGTTCAATCAAAGAAAACAGAAATGCCTCTGAGATTGTTAAAACGGTGAATTTGCTGATCACGTCCCTAAGCACAGACTTCCTGTGGGATTATATGATGAGGTGTTTTGAGGAGTGCTTTAGGTAAGTAAGTATGCAGTTCAGGATTTTGGAGTGTTTAGGAAGCGTGAGACTGCTTAGCAGGTTTAGCAGTTTCATAGCTGCTTAATATGGTCAGATTATCTCTAAGTAGCGGAACCTGGGTGGTCTCTTCTGAGTTTCAAAGTTCAGCCAAAACAGGATTGGAAAGAATTCACTTAAGATAAGAATAAAAAATATCTCCAATAAGGAGGCTCACCTAATCTTTGCGACGTAATGCTGAAGCTGCTTTATTTTTTTAAATCTCAGGTTAGAAAATCCTCTTTGCATTTTCTAGTTGCATTCATCGAATCAGCTTTCCTCACACAGCTCTCTTGGAGGCCTAATCTATTTAAAGAAGCTCAGTTTTGTGGCTCTTTGGTAGAGTGTTTTTGAAATCTTATGTCTTCTTAAATTCTTATTGAAATTAATGTATAAACTGGTCAGATAGAATGCATGGATGCTTTACGATGCCGTAATCAGCTCTACCTTCTTGTTTAATCTGGTGAATTGCACCGCCTCTGAACTGTGCGTGGTGGTGTACCCCAGAGAACATCATGCTTTCTGTATGGGAGGAATAAGGTAATCTCTCAAGCCCCGTTTTGTCCCATGAGGCATGCTGTAAAACTTATTTCTTGCCAGTCTCCACTGTAATGCTCTGGGCTATCTGTGTCCTTCACATACCCCGCAGCGGTAACAGAAGTTTTCCGTGGTGTTTTTGTGTGTTTCCTCTGGCCGGGAAGCCTGACAGTAAATCTTTGGAACAACCCCAAGGGAAGGAGGCACTTCTGTTGTGCTTTTGACATATATAAGAAAGTCAAAGCCTGGAGACACCGAGGTACCTTGTTTTGCATTGCTTAGCAAATTAGTGGCCACTGAAATTACAACCCGAGGTGTCTGCTACCTGCTATCAGCGTCTCATTCTCAGCTGCTCCCTCTGTGTTCCTCTGCCCACACAGGCTCACCACCCTGGGGATGAATAAATGAATTGTAATTGGATCCACAGACACCCGCAGGGCCATGTTCTGCTGATGTGAGAGTAGGCTTTGGTTAGCCTGGTTATTTTTTAAAATAATAAAATGTTACTACCCAGACAGAGCTAACTCCTCACCTTGCACTTTTGCTCCTTTCATTGTAGAGTTAATCACTATCCCCAAATTAGCTTCCATCCTCCCCACGCTGCTGGTACATACTTTTCTAACAAGTATGTATCCATCAGTGATACAGCCCATTTTGTCAAAGTTCCATGAGTGACACCAGGTTTGAGGGGTGTCATGATGTGCACATCCATTTGTTCATCGTTAGTGTAATAGCCCATGTGTGAGTGAATGGTTTGATCCTGTCACTGTGTGAACATCTTAGTCCTGTCTCTTTACACAGGATTCTTCAGAGTAGATGCCTGTGGGTGGCATCGCTAGGATGTAGCCTGTACAGTGCTCCCAAGCATTCTTGTTCTGAGATGAACTCTAAGATACCTAAATGCTAATTTACAGGGAAGAAAATTAACTGACATTGACTGGTATGATTAGAACTGGATGAATCCCAAGTTGCTCTGTTATGAGAACCAATATATACTTTTAAACATACCTATTTACCTGGTTGCATGCTTTCTTTTTTTTTTAAGAGACAGAGTCTCACTTTATCACCCTTTGTAGAGTGCCATGGCGTCACAGCTCACAGCAACCTCCAACTCCTGGGCTTAGGCAATTCCCTTGCCTCAGCCTCCCGAGTAGCTGGGACTACAGGCACCCACCACCATGCCCGGCTATTTTTTGCAGTTTGGCCAGGGCTGGATTTGAACCGGCTACCCTCTCACTGAGCCACAGGCTCCACCCTGTTGCCTGCTTATTTTAAGAGCAGTGTTGGGTTTCAGTATAAGATAAGCAACTACCAATGGAGTTGATCAGCGGGATCCCATTTCTTCATAGAAGCTGAGGAATTCTAGGCAACTGAGCGCTCATGCATCCGTGGATGTTACATGGGGAGGCATTTTCTCAGACTCTTCCTACAGCAGGTGCTGCTCTCCAGCCCAGCTGCCTTTGGTTTGGGATTGGGAATGTGGGATTGCACCTGTGGTGGAGCTGCAGCTCTGCTGGGTGTGGAATGCCACCTGGGCATGAGGCCACGGACATGGGAATTGCTGGAGTTCAAGTGGAATGAACCTGTTTTGGAAAACAGTAGATTTAAGACATTAACATTTCTCTGGGTTAGATTGTTTCAGTCACCAAAGCTGTCTTTTGTTATGTTTACAATGATTTTACTGGAAATTGAAAAGAATGATTAAAATTATTATGGGAAAAAGAATTAATTTGTTTTTCTTTCCCATGGTCCTACAGACCGGCAAAGCAGAGTTCCCCTGTCAGAAAAAGTGTCAGCCCTCCCCCGACAGTCTCGGAGGTCTGCACGCTCCTGGTGTTCCTTCTGGATGTCATTCCCCTGGTAAGGATTCTGCTGTGAAGAGACAGCTTCATGCTACCCAGTTTAGGTACTTACTGGTGTTGTCGGGCTGCTCTATAAACCTAAATTTCAAAAAAAGCCATTTTACATAGATACACAAAACTGTTGTAAGGTCCATTTCAACGTGGAAAATGTGCCTGGATGTGATCTCTTAGATTTTTAATGTCTAATTTAAAGGGGTTATAACTTTTGGCTAGTGATACTTGTGGGCTGAGCTGAAGTCGAGTCAACTAGCTGATGAACTGAGTAAAGCCTGTACTGCACTTACGTTGGGGTGAAAGTCAATATGTTTCTCACTTAAAATTGTGCTGTTGCCTCATTTCCTCAACATAGACATATGCGGCAATTTTGTCTTCTACTAGTAAGTAAAATCACTTGATTCATCTGGATTAAAAGGAAATATTTTGTTTTTGGATTTGGGAGTTAATATAAAACTTATGCTCCAAAAAAATTGAATTTTTGACCAGATGTAGTGGCTCAGGCCTATAATCCCACACGTTGGGAGGCCAAGGCAGGAGGATGAGTGTAGGAATTTGAGACCAGCCTGGCCAATACAGTGAGACCCCATTGCTACCAAAAGTAAAAAAAAATTAGGCAGACATGGTGGTGTGTACCTGCAGTCCTAGCTACTTGGGAGGCTGAACCAGAAGGATCACTTGAGCCCAGGAGTTGACGGGGCTGCAGTGAGCTGTGGTGATGCCACTGCATTCTAGCCAGGGCAATACCTCTACCCCCTCCCCAGAATTGTATTTTTTAAGATACTATTTTGAGGCACATTGTTTTTCAGGTTGTAAACTGACAACATGTGGGCTAAACCTGTGTTTTTATTTCACAGGAACTTTACTCCGAGGTGCAAACCCAGTATCTCCCACAGGTGCTTAGCTGCCTGGTGCAGCCTCTTGCTGAGGAAATGGAGGCCTTAAGTTTACCTGAACTCACTCAGGCCTTGAAGACGTGTTTCAAGGTGCTCAGCAAAGTCCAAATGCCGCCTTCCTACCTAGACACAGAGTCCACAAGTGGAGCCTCGGTATGTGCTTCTCTGGGCGGAAGCATAAGGTACCTTCCTGGTAATAGAAATAAATTAGGATTGGTTAGGACAGGAATAAAGACAGGATAACATGAAAAAAGGGGAAAAAAAACAAGACAAGATACATGGGTAATATGTCAGATGTGCCTATAAAATCCTCACCTTACAGGTTTTAGCATAACTGTTAACTGCTTTATTTCACCCACTCCCATGCTCCTTTCCTGCTTCATAACTATAGCTAATGGCTAGATGTAGTTAGTAACTCGTAGCTAGAGTTCACGGAAAGACCTAGCTAGCCTTCAGACCTTTTTATGTTTGTACTTCTATACATGTGCTTTTGGTTATTTAAAATACAAATGAGTTACTGGATTAATTTGATAGACTTGCCTTAACACCACAGTCTGTGTGGCTTAGACAACACAATTTGTTTTCTCACAGTTCTAGAACCCAGAGTCTGATAGGAAGGTGTCAGCTGGGCTCCATCCCTCTCAGTGTGCTAGCAGTAAAAAATCTGTTCCAGGCTGTTCTTACAGCTTCTGCTGTTTGGCTGATGATCTTCAGCATTCCTTGGTCTATGGAAGTGTCCGTGTCCAGGGTTCCCCTTTCTATAAGGACACCAGTCCTTTTGGATTAGGGCCCACCCTAGTGACCTCATCTTAACTTGATCATCTGCAGAGACACTATTTCAGATAAGGTCACATTCATAGGTGCTTGGGTTAGGACTTCAGCATCTTTGGGGGAGCACAGTTCAACCCACATATATACTATTTTCTGACCTGCTTCAGTTTTCATTCAAAGGATTTTGGAGACTTATTTGCATAGCAGTATATTATATATAAAGGTATCTTATTCTTTTCTAACTTCTGACCTATTACATGGATTTATAATTTATTCAACCTTGATGTTTAGGTTATTTACAATTTTTTTTTTTTTTTTTGAGACGGAGCCTCAAGCTATCCCCCTGGGTAGAGTGCCGTGACATCACGCTCACAGCAACCTCCAACTCCTGGGCTCAAGCGAGTCTCCTGCCTCAGCCTCCCAAGTAGCTGGGACTACAGGCGCCCGCCACAACACCTGGCCATTTTTTGGTTGCAGCCATCATTGTTGTTTGGCGGGCCCGGGCTGGGGATTCGAACCCGCCACCTTAGGTGTATGTGGCTGGCGCCTTAGCCGCTTGAGCCACAGGCGCCGAGCCTATTTACAATTTTTTAACGTTAAGTGTTGCAAGGTAGAGCAGGTGGCTCATGCCCATAATCTTAGCACTCTGAGAAGCAGAGATGGGCAACTTGATTGAGCTTTGAAGTTCAAGACCAGCCTGAGGGGTGGTGCCTGTGGCTAAAAGGAGTAGGGCACCGGTCCCATATACCAAAGGTGGGTTCAAACCTGGCCCCAGCCAAAGAAATTAAACAAAAAAAAGACTAGCCTGAGCAAGAGCAAGATGCTGGCTCTACTAAAAATAGAAAAACTACCTGGGCATTGGTGAGCACCCATAGTCCTAGCTCCTTGGGAGGCTGAGGCAGGAGGATCTATTGTGCTCAAGAGTTTGAGGTTGCAGTGAGCTAAGTTGATGCCATGGCACACTAGCCTGGGTGACAGAGTGGAATTTGTCTCAAAACAAGCAAACAACAACAAAAAGAACCACAGTGTTGCATTCAGCATCCTCATATGACTTGTCTCTGGGGGCTTAGTGTCTCTGAAGAATAAGTTCCTAGCAGTGAGTTGCAATCAAAAGACTTACATGCTGCTTTTATACTGTGAGAGATGTTGCCAAATTGTCTTCCAAAAAGACTAACGGTGATAGTGCCACAATTTGCTCATTTTCTTTGGATTACTTCTATTTTTAGTTTTATTTAGGAATTTGAAAGTTTTGCTCCTGAGATTAGTTCAGTGCAGTGGCACACAGGTGTATGAACAGACTGAAAAGTGAGGTGATCTGAGAGCGAGTTGTGTATATCAGCTGTGTGTTTGGAGACAAATGAGCTTCCTGATAGGAATTGAATTCAGTTTACTAATTACAGACTGTTCTGTAATTAGTAAAAGAAGTTCTTTTTTTTTTTCTAACTGTTCTAGCTAGTGGGAAAAAATATCCTAAAATGACTTGAGATATAAATCTTAAACATCTATAGTCTACAGATATCAAAAAGAATGTGTTTTAAAACACTTACTCCCTTCTCATTTTTTCCTACAGAGTATGGTATTATTACTGCTAAAGGGTTTAGTAGGGGACAGTGTGCCTCATGAGGACTTTAATCTCAACAACTCAGGAGGCTGAGGTGGCAGGATTGCTTCAGGCCCAGAGCTCTAGACCAGCCTGGGCAACCCTGTTGAGTCCACAGTGAGTTGTGATGAGGCCACTAGCCTGGGCAACAGAGTGAGAATCTATCTCTTAAAAAAGGTGGGGGGTGGGGGAATTGTCAATATTAATATTATCTAAGGAGCAGTATAGGAAAAGAGAAAAGGTTGATCCATTGAACATTGAAGTGTCATCACTTTGGAAAACCCATCTCGTGTGTGGGGGGGGTGTGTGTGTGTGTGTGTATACATATGTATTTTTGAGCTGATTACACTATCTTTCTATACTTGTTTCTTCATGCCTGTATCTTGCCTGCAGCTCAGTTTCCTCATTAATATTTTTAAATTTGTCAAAAATCATTTTTAAAGAACTTTCTTGAACCCTAAAGGGTCTAAACGAATAAGACAAAGATGCTCAAGAGCCAGCCTGCCCAAGAGCATAGAGCTTGGTACACCAGCTCTTTGGGCCACCACTTCTCTTTCCCCCTTGGTGTGCCCTCTGAATTTCATCATACACTTTATACAGGGATTCTCTTGGTCTACAGAGTTATGATTTTGACAAACAAGTTCAAAATGCATTTGTGGTTTATCTGATTCAGCTGATACTCGAGTCCCTTAGTCTTAAGAGATGTACAGTACACATTTGTCCATGTTTTGCAGAGTCCAGTAAAAGGTGAAAATGGCAAAATAATTTTGGAAACAAAAGTAGTGATTCCGGGTGATGAAGACACCACGTTCCCCCCGCTGAAATCTGAGGACAGTGGGATTGGGCTCAGTGCCTCCTCACCAGAGCTCTCTGAACACCTGAGGGTTCCACGAGTTTCTCCTGAAAGAGACGATGTTTGGAAGAAAGGCGGGGTTATGCAGAGGACGTTTCTTTGCATCCAGGAGCTAATTGCCAACTTTGCCAGCAAGAACATTTTTGGAATACAGCTCACAGCATCTGGCGAGGAAAGCAAGCCCGAAGAGCCTGCAGGGAAGAGGGACAAGAATGGGACACGGAGCCTGGCGGTCGACAGCTCCAATAGGAAGAACTCGTGGGAGGCCAAACCCATCACCGTGCCCCAGTTTAAGCAAATGCTTTCAGACCTGTTCACAGTGCGGGGCTCTCCATTTAAGACAAAAAGTTCAGAGTTACCGTCATCTTTGCCCAATAGCCCGGGCAGAAAAATAGGGGGAGAATGGGATGTTGACCAGGTGGTCATTGACCTGGGAGGTTCCGGGAAGGACTGCAGGGAGGCCTTTGCTGCTGCCTGCCACCTGCTGCTGGACTGTGCTACCTTTCCCGTCTACCTGTCCACGGAGGAGACTGAGCAGCTCTGTGATATGCTCTTCCAGCTTCCAGGTGAGAGGACAGCCCTGTTGGGGCCACTTGGGGGATCATATTACTGAGATGGTTGATACAGACTGAGCATCCCTTATCTAAAGTGCCTGGGACCGGAAGTATATTAAATTTTAGATTTTTTCAGATTTTGAAAAATTTAATTATACTTACTGTCCAAAATATGTAGAGTACTTACTGTACATGATCTTTAGTCCCCAAAAATCCAAACTCTGAAGTGTTCCAGTGATAGTTCCTTTGGGCATCATGTTGACTTCAGATTTTGGATTTGGGATGCTTAGCTTATATTTACAGACTAACTAATGTCTATGAGCCAGGAAGAGACTATTGGTGGTATTTGTTTCCTTTTTTATTTTGTAATTAGTTCTGTGTATTTTGGACTTGTGTCCCACGACCTATAAATTGGCAAGGGTTGGGTCTGTACCTTCAAACCTTGGGTGTTCAGCACAACCCATTGGAAGATCTAGAACAGGTGTGTCCAGCCTTTTTTCTTTTCTTCATACACTGGAAGAAGAGTTGTCTTGGACCACCCATTAAGTACTCAAACCCTAAAGAAAGATGGTTAGCAAAGAAAAAAAAAGGCCTATGCTGCTTTTCCTGATACCCAACAGTGTTTGAACAGTTAAGCAAAAAAAGTCCTCACAAAATCAGCATGCAGCCCACACCCTGATCTAGAACATAAAACGTGCTCAGTAATAGTAGATAGACTATTTCAGGACACCTGTTGTTAAAGATCTATGTACTCATTTGCTCGGGCTGCCATAACAAGTACCATAAACCGAATGCCTCAGTAACATAGTGTATAATGTATCATATATGATTTCACCATTTTAGAGGCCAGATAGCTGAGATTGAGGTGTCAGCCGGGCCATGCTTCCTGAGACTCTGGGTAGAATACTTCCTCTCCTCTTCCTAACTTCTGGTGGTGGCTGCCTATTCTCGGGGCCCTTGCCTTGCAGCTGCATCAGTTCAGTCTCTGCCTCTGCCTTCACCTGCTGTCTCCCTGTGTGTCTCTGTCTTCATGTGGTATCTCCCTCATATAAGGACATCAGTCATATTGGATCAGAGTTCACCCTGATGACCTCATCTTCACTTGATAGCATCTGTAGGATCTTATTTCCAAATAAGTCACCACCAGAAGGTCAGCACCCTGTTGTCTAAGGTGACTTTATCAGCTAACTTCCTGGATCTAGGGTGCTGTCAAATCTGTAGGTTGGGGCCTTTCTGATGTGGTTTTGTCTGTTTCTGCTTCTCTGGCTGGCTTCCATTTAGGAGCCAGCGATTCCAGTTTCCCGTCTTGGCTGAAATCCCTTATGACCATTTGCTGCTGTGTGACTGACTGCTACCTCCAGAATGTGGCCATTTCCACTTTGCTAGAAGTGATAAACCATTCCCAGTCCCTCGCAATTGTCATTGAAGACAAGATGAAACGCTATAAAAGCTCTGGACACAACCCATTTTTTGGCAAGCTGCAGATGGTGACTGTTCCTCCCATTGCTCCGGGGATATTGAAAGTCGTGGCAGAGAAAACAGACTTCTATCAGGTATTTCCCACTGGGAAGAGGGTGGCTGGGCCCTTCCTCCCCAGACCATTTATGTAAAGTCATTCCTAAGTTTGTAGTGACTGGCTGTGATAAGGAATGTGGCTGCTCCCGTGGCAACTGCAGAATTGCTAGAAACCTGAGACTGCCTTGTCCATCTCTGCATCCCAGGCTCCTGCTCAATTTCTGGCCCTGTAGTAGATGCTCAGGAAACAGTTGTGTTCAGTTTTAGACTGACCAGACTTCACATGTAAGATTGTATAGTTATCTAATAATTAAGAGAAAGAGACTGTGTCCTAATTCATAATGTTAAAGGCTTTGGGGGTTTTGGTGCTATCCATCTTTCTTGAGGACAAAGTAAGAAAACAGTTTGAAGTTACCAATCGCAAGACCCTGAAAGCTATTCCAGCTAGCCCATGAGTAAAGGTGAAGTTTCGTGTAAAGTCAGAGCCCATGGGAGTGGAAGGATGGATGTAGAAGGCAGCTGGGCCCCATGGGGTCTTGAACCAAAAGCTGTTAGCCCCTGTGGCTGTTCTCTTTGCCTAGAGAACTCACTCTGCATGCCTGCCCTCTGCCCACCCAGATGCTTTCAGTCTGACTTTGGCCTTCAGTCTGCCTCCTCAAGCTTGGTTCCATGGGTAATGATGCCTGTATCTCTTCCTTATAATGCTGGACTAAGAAGTCAAGGTTATGGCTCGGCACCTGTAGCTCAATCGGCTAAGGCGCCAGCCATATACACCTAAGGTGGCGGGTTCGAATCCCCAGCCCGGGCCTGCCAAACAACAATGATGGCTGCAACCAAAAAATGGCCCGGCGTTGTGGCAGGCGCCTGTAGTCCTAGCTACTTGGGAGGCAGAGGCAGGAGACTCGCTTGAGCCCAGGAGTTAGAGGTTGGTGTGAGCTGTGATGCCATGGCACTCTACCCAGGGGGATAGCTTGAGGCTCCATCTCAAAAAAAAAAAAAAGAAGTCAAGATTATTAAGCAATCTCTCAGTGAGGCCCCCTTGAGTCCGGTGCCTTCTCCTTGTCTAGTTCACCTCACTGGGGATAACTGTGAAGGGATGAGAGGTCATGTGACATACATAGGCCCTGCCCACTCACTGGGGCTTATAGATGGTACAAATTTTCCCTGCGGATAGAAGGGACAAACAGACACGTGGGAAGCCTGAGACACTAGGACTCTATTAGACACCCTAAAATTGCGTGTGCGAGTGTGACACTGGGGCTGTCCCTTTACGTCTTGCCCCTGTCCTAAAGACACTTTCAGAATAGGCAGCTTTTTACCTAGTCGGGATGAGCTTGTCTCAAAAAAGCCATTTAACTGAAGTGACCTCTCTGCTTGGTTTATTTTAAATCTCTTTCTAGAGATATAATTTGTATAGTATATAATTCACCCCTTTAAAGTGTGAAATTCAGTGGATTTTACTACATTCACAGAATTGTGCCATTTCACTTACCGTTTTCTGTATGTCATGCCTTTTTTCATCCATTCTTCATACACTACTTCCTTTTTCGTTAAGTAAATATTTTCCAGTATGATATTTTAATCCCTTTATTTTTTTCGATTTTGTTTAGTTACTTTTTTACTTTTCATTTAAGGGTTTGCCATGTACATTTTATCAGAATCTTTAGGTTTTTATTTTTTGGATTGATATGAGGGAACATATGATTAAGTTACTCTGTTTGCATTTTTTTTTTTTTTTTTTTTTGGAGACAGTCTCACTTTGTCACCCTTGGTAGAGTGCTGTGGTGTCACAGCTTGCAGCAACCTCCAACTCTTGGGCTTAAACGATTCTCTTGCCTCAGCCTCCCAAGTAGCTGGGACTATAGGCGCCCACCAGAACATCTGGCTATTTTTTTTCTTTTTTTCAGTTGTCATTGTTTAGCTGGCCTGGGCTGGGTTCGAACCTGCCAGCCTCAGTGTATGTGGCTGGTGCCGTAACCACTGAGCTACAGGCACCAAGCCCAATGTTTGCATTTGTAAGGTGAAGTCCAGGTTATAGTTCAGCCCTTCTACTTCAGTTTTATACAGACTAAATTCCAATCAGGTACAGAAACATTTTTTCTGGATAGCTGTTTCTCTAACCCCTTGTTATGCTATTAGTGTTAGGTGGATTATATCTACGTATGTTGCAAACACAGTAATAGGTTGTCATAATTATTGATGTGTATAATTTTATATCTCTTAGAGAGGATAGGAGAATAGAGGAAAACAAATATATGTATGGACTTTGTTATGTTAACCTTTGCATTTACCACTTCTGCCTCTTTGTGGATTTGAATTAGCATCTGTTGTATTTCCTTATTCCAGTGTACCTTTGCTTCCACCCATGTGTCTGCATTGTTTTTGTTAAATATATTTCTTTCTGGCTTAGGTCTAACAATACATTATGTACCTATTACTTTACACAACTGTTTTTTGTTTTTTGGGTTTTTTTGCAGTTTTTGGCTGGAGCTGGGTTTGAACCTCCCACCTCCAGTATATGTGGCTGGCACCCTACTCCTTTGAGCCATAGGCACCACCTGCACAACTATTTCTTTAAAATCAGTTGATAAAAGAGAGGAACTATGTACCATGGTGTCATTCATAGCTCACAGCAACCTCAAACTCTTGGGCTCAAGTGATCCTCTTGCTTCAGCCCCCCAAGTTGCTGGGGCTACAGGTGCCCACCACAATGCCAGGCTATTTTTTAGAGATGGAGTTTCACTCCCACTCAGGTTGGTCTCAAATTCCTGAGCTCAGGTGATCTACCTGCCTTGGCCTCCCAGACTGCTAAGATTACAGGCGTGAGCCTCTGCACCTGGCCTCTTTATTTTGTCTTCATTGTTTGAAAGGTGGTTTTGCTGGACATAAGATTCTTGGTTGACAGGTTTTTTTTTTTTTTTCTTTCAGCACTTGGAACATAAAAATAAATATACTTTAATCAGTCCCATATATACTTGAACATAAAGTAAAGCAGCCCTTGTTTAATAACCTTTAACAAATGTTTATGTAAATGTTTGCATGAACTTATATTTGAATGAACCATTTGAATGTGTCATCCACTGCCTTCTGGATTGTGTCCTATGAGAAGTCATTTGCTGATCTTATTGGAGTTCTCTTGTAGATGATGAGTTACTTTTCATTTACTGTTTTCAAGATTTCCTCTTGGTTTTTATCCTTTAGCATTTTATTGTGATATTTCTGAATGTGATCCCTTTGCAGTTATCTTACTTAGAATTCTTTGAGCTTCTGACATCTGTGGATTAATGTTTTTCATCAAATTTGGGAAGTTTTCAGCCATTATTTCCTCATATTTCTGCTTCTTTCTCTTCTCTCCGGGCACATTTTTATTCTGTGTATACTGTTGCATTCAGTGGTGTTCCACATTTTGCTAAGATTCTGTTTATTTTCTTCATTTCCTTTTTCCTTCTATTTTTTTAGACTTCATATTCTCTATCAATCAAATCTTCTTCACCCTTTCTTCTGCCACTTTAAATGTACTGTTGAGTATCTGCTTGTGAATTTTTCATTTCTGTCATTGAACTTTTCAACTCCAGAATTTCCGTTTGGTTCTTCTTTTTTTTTTTTTAATGCAATTTTTTTTTCTTCACAGTTTTTGGCTAGGGCAGGGCTTGAACCCGCCACCTCCAGCATATGGGGCCGGTACCCTACTCCTTTGCGCCACAGGCACTGCCCTGTTTTTTTTTGTTGTTTTTTTTTTTAAGAGACAGGGGTCTGTGTTGCCCAGGCTGGCGTGTAGTGCTATCATCATAAGTTACTGTAGCCTCTAACTCCTGGGCTCAAGGGATCCTCCCCCCTCAGTCTCTAGAGTAGCTGAGACTATATAGGTGCATAATACTGTACTCAGCTAATTTTTCTTTTAGCAACAGGGTCTGACTGTGTTGCCCAGGCTAGTTTCAAACTCCTGGCCTCTGACCCTTCTACCTTAGCCTCCCAGAGTTGATTACAGGCATGAGCCACTAAGCCCAGCCCTGGTTCTTTTAAAAAAATAATTTTTTTCATAGCCAGGCATTGGCAGGTGCCTGCAGTCCCAGCTACTCAGGTGCCTGAGGCAAGAGGATCACTTAAGCCCAAGAGTTTGAGGTTACTGTGAGCTGTGACACCACAGCACTCTACCGAGGGCAACAAAGCAAAACTCTGTCTCAATAATAATAATAATAATTCTGTCTACTTACTAATAATGTCTATTTGATGAAATGTTGTCACTGTACATTTCTTCTTTAAATGTCGTTTCCTTTAGCTATTGAACATATTTATAATGGCTTCTCTCACATCTTTGCGTTTTAAATCTAACATCTTGTAGCTTTCACAGTCTGTTTTGTTTGCTTTTCTTTTCTGTGTCTGCATCATACTTTGTTGTTCCTTTGCATCTTCTATGATTTTTGTTGAAGACTGGACATTTTAGATAACATATTATGGCAACTTGGGTGGCGCCTATGGTTTAGTGAGTAGGGTGCCGGCTTCGTATACTGAGGGTGGTGGGTTCAAACCTGGCCCCGGCCAAACTGCAACAAAAAATAGCTGGGCATTGTGACAGGCGCCTGTAGTCCCAGCTACTTGGGAGGCCGAGGCAAGAGAATCGCCTAAGCCAGGCGTCCTCAAACTACGGTCCACGGGTCACATGCGGCCCACCTAGGACATTTATCCAGCCCATCAGGTGTTTTTGCCATTGCTGCCTGTCCTGCTTAGCAGCCCACTCGTCCTGGGTCCCGCGGTCCAGCCCTCCAGTGGTCTGAGGGACAGTAAACTGGCCCCTGGTTCAAAAGTTTGAGGACCCCTGGCCTAAGCCCAAGAGCTGGAGGTTGCTATGAGCTGTGACACCCAAGCACTCTATCGAGGGCGACAAATTAAGACTCTTGTCTCTTTTTTTTTTGCAGTTTTTGGCCAGGGCTGGGTTTGAACTCGCCACCTCCCATATGTGGGGCCAGTGCCCTACTCCCTGAGCCACAGGCACTGCCCGAGACTCTTGTCTCTTAAAAAAAAAAAAAAAAATATATAGCAACTCTATAGCCTGACACTCCTACCTTAGGGCTTATTTTTGTTTGTTTGTTTACTGACTTGGCTAAGCTGTTTTTGTGATGTCTGTTTCCCCTGATGTGTGAAGCCTTTGGTGGTGTTCCTCCAAGGGTACAGCATTGGGAATGTACATAGTTTACTCAGAGAGGATAGTGTCTTAGCAGCATCTCACCAGCTCTTTCCCTAATGTCTCCATCAGGCTTTTGCCTCCATTTGGTATTAATACTCAGATGTGAGACACTGCCACTTGCTGGCTGATTGCTCTATTGTTTTGCCCTCCTGGGACATAAATTGCTCCACAGTCTGATCCAGTTAAACTTATACTCTTTTTTTTCACAGGTAGTTTTTTATTGTTGTTGTTGTTTGTTTTTGAGACAGAATCTCAAGCTGTTGACCTCGGTAGAGTGCAGTGGCATCACAGCTCACAGCAACCTCAGACTCTTGGGCTCAAGCAATTCTCTTGCCTCAGCCTCCCAAGTAGCTGGGGCTACAGGTGCCCGCCACAATGCCCAGCTATTTTTTGTTGCAGTCTGGCCGGGGCTGGGTTTGAACCCGTCACCCTCAGTATATGGGGCCTCCTTTGCTCTGAAGAGCTGGGGAAGGGATAGTAGTCTGCTTCTCTTGGAGTGAAATCCTTACAAGGTCCTGGGCAGGGGCAGTAGCCTCTGGTCTTCAGAGTGTGCCTTTCCTAGCATGTGAATTTTACCCTACAGGCCGGCTTTGGTGAGGGCAGAGGTCCCGGAGATTCTTGGCCAGCTATGCCTTGGTGGAGCCTCTGCCTACAAGAGGGGACTGAGTGGAGGCAGACAGCCCACGACTCTTCCACTGCAACCTTCTGGGTTTTAACTTCTGCAATACAGAGCAGAGGCACAAGAAGAGGGCAGGCTAGTGGCCTGCCCCTCCCAGGAGATGCAAAGGCTGTCAAAAGGGAGCCCCCATTGTCTTGGCCATACCCACCAGAGTGGGTGGTCAAGTTTCTGTCAAGTTTCCATTAAGCCAAGCTGGGTAGAAGGTGGAGAAGGAGCAGCTCATGGCCCAAATGCCATAGACTTTTGCTGGTTTTACCAAAATTTAGTAAATCCTCTTTAATACTTCTTTATTTCCTGAATTCCCTTTGAATAATTTCCAGAGTCTGTGAGTGATTATTCTAGGGTTGTTTTAGGGTCCACTGTAAATTCACCTAATTGCCTGGAGGGTGTACCTGTGCATCTCCAACACCTGCACTGGGCGGGCTTCATGCATGCTTGTCGGGAGAATGCTTCAGCCACTTGGAGCCAGCTTCCCATTGACTCTCTTTCCAAAAGCAAGGCTAAAGTCTGGGCAAGAGCTGCAGTTGTCCTAGGCAGTCAGAAATCCCTAAGTTTAGTCTCTCGTGTTGCTTAGATGACTTTTAGGGGAGGTGAGTGTTGCTTTGTTTTTGTTGGTGGTGTGTCCCTAGGTGTGCAGGATATATAGGTAGATATGTATTCCAGCAAATATAGGTAGAAGCCAGGACAGTGGGGCTGGGGACTGGACTAGGTGAGGAGATGAATGGGTGTCAGCTATGTTGACATTGACACTGCCTGCCTTTCCTTTGGCCCAGAGGGTAGCTCGTGTGCTTTGGAATCAGCTGAATAAGGAGACCCGGGAGCATCATGTCACCTGTGTGGAGCTTTTCTACCGGCTGCACTGCCTGGCCCCAACAGCCAACATCTGTGAGGACATCATCTGCCATGCCCTGCTGGACCCTGACAAGGTGTGTCTTTTCAGCCCGTCATCTCCTTCTTGTAGTGACTCTGGCTGCTGGGCTGGCTCATTGTTTGCCTTGCCCACAGCAGACTTACATATGACCAAATGAAGTCCTCGGCTCAGGGGACATCCTGATCCATGGGCAGAGGTATTCCAGGATTTTAGCCATCCCCTTTAGAGATCTAAAAATGTGGCATATTGTCCATGTTAAGGCCCACCAGGGAAATGTGCCCAAATTCTCTGTAAATACTTGCAGGGCTTCTGGAGCTATTGGCAAAATCGACAGTTGTAGAGTATTGCTGCTTTATTTATTGAGAATTTATTGAGAAGTTATTGTCCCTGGTTTCCTTTGCAGTCTAGTATATGGCTCTGTTCTTTCAGACACTGGGCCTGATACTTCTAAGAGGCACAAGGAAGCTGTGTTCTTTTGTGCTTTCCTTAGGGCCTAGGTCTCTGGTGTGACCCTGGCCACCTGTGACCCAGGCTGAGCCCTGAATATAGAATACATGTTATGAAGTGTGCATCTGTGTTATAGCAAGCAGGCAGAGAGACAGAGGGCACAGCTCTTTCTTTTTTTTCTGGCCACATCAAACATGAAAATGCAGCATCTTTGCCGTCATTGCTGTCAGTTCTGCTGAGATCTTTAAAGTGTTATTTAAATGTGGTTTCTTGCATCTGAAAACAGCATTAAGTTAAGAAAGCAAGTTCCTTATCCCTGTTTATTTCCTAATCAAGGGAACCAGGTTGGAAGCTCTCTTTAGATTCTCTGTGATCTGGCACCTGACGAGGGAGATCCAGGGCAACCGAGTGACATCTCACAACCGCTCGTTTGATCGGTATGGCTGTCTTCACTGTGAGCTACCTTTAACGCAGAAGGAAACCTGGCAGGGTTTCGTGCTTAGCAGTGGGGAGGGAGAGGTGTGTGTAATTAAAAACATGAAACATGACCCCTGACATGACCGTGACCCCTGAGGTGTGCAGTACATGATTCCCATGATTCTCTCAATGAATTTCAGCTGGAAACACATGAAGACGTGTTAGGAACTTTCATAGTTTGGTCATGGAGTGTGGAAGCCCACCAGGCTGCAGCGTCAACCTTGGGGCTTTTACCATATGCCCCCCATGAGGGGCTTTGCTAAGAGATGCAGGTGGCCTACACCTTGACTCGGGTGCTGGCTACACTGCATGTCTGTGCTTGTCACTCAATGACTAAATGCTTAAGGTGGGGATTTTATTGAAGGTTCATTGTTCATGTTGATTTTTCCCAAGTGTCCTACTGTGTCTCTGAAACTCTAGGTGTGGGCCCAGGCACACTGCCCTGGGAAGTCTGCCCGGGACCTGCCCTAGAGTCAGATGTAATCGATTAGCCATCAGAATTTTATAAGGCTCCCCCAGAGATTACAGCATTCTCCTTGTTTTCATCTGCATGGGTCTGTGAGTCCCACCTGGATGAAGCTCTGTGGGGCATCCATGTTGTTCAAGTGTCTGCCATGGTGCCTGGCACACAGGGGCAGCTGGCATGGACTCAGTGGTGTGGTTCCCTCCTGCAGGTCCTTGTTCGTTGTGCTGGACAGCCTGGCCTGCACTGACGGTGCCATCAGCGCAGCAGCCCAGGGCTGGCTGGTGCGAGCACTCTCACTTGGGGACGTGGCACGCATCCTCGAACCCGTCCTCCTGCTCCTTCTCCAGCCCAAAACCCAGAGAACCTCCATCCACTGCCTCAAGCAGGAGAACTCAGCTGGTGAGCAGCCTGCTCAGGGCCCCAGGTGTGGGACAGAGGAAAGGACATGGTGGGATGGACCCCAGTTGCCCCTTGTGACAGTGAAGCAACTTAGATCTACCAGGTGGCTTTGCTAGTTTCTGATGGTGTGAGAGCACTTTGTTAATTGTGGGCACCTTGAAAATATAAGGACCTGCGATCTAGCTCTGAGGACTACTCAGTAACGAGTTTGCTGTTTTCACCCAAAAACCAGATTTTTTTGTTATAAAAAAGGAAAAATTTGAAATATACATTATTATTAACTCTGGCCACCATGCTATGTATAGACATGAAAACTCCTAACTGGAGTTTTGTTGCCCCTTTGGCCAGCATCTCCCCCCACCCCCAGCCGCTAATGACCATCATTCTGTTCTCTACTTCTGTGAGAGTAGATGTTCAGTGTCACCACAGTAAAATGATAACTGAGGTGAGGGATGTGTTAATTAGCTTGGTTTAATCTCTCTGCAGCCCATATGTCAGGACATCACATTTATCCCATAAACATATACTGTTGCGACCCCATGGCCCTGGTCTCGGTCCCCGCATGAAGGAACCAGGTGTGACACGAATTAGAAGTACAAGCTTGCGGGAGGCGTGCTAACCTTAAGTGCAGGGTAGCCCTGAGCCCCCTCCTCATTGGCTATTTGTTAAGGTTATACACAGCAGGTGTGGAGAGTTAAGGTCATCACATAGGGCTGCATGCATAAGGATCGCCATGGGCTCTTTCCCCAGGTGTTCTTTCCCCACAACCCCCATGAAGAACTACTGAGCATCAGTGTTTAACACCTGCTTACTAGTGAGTGACGATCTTATCTCATTCCAGAACACTGAATTACTTGGGGGATTGCCCCTAAGTCATAAAACGTCTTTAGGCTTGCCAGGAGACTGTCCTGTTCTCAGTGTTTCCTTCTAATGTAATAAGAATCTGTAACTATGCTTTGCAAGCATGGTGTCCGTTCTTCTACAGTGTATAGTTATTTTTTCAATTAAAAAGTATTTTTTAATTTTAGTAACTCATGTTCCAATAAAAATAGGTAATTGGGGATTCTTTTCCTAGAGAAAACAATTCAGGTGTATCTGAATTACACGAGAGAATAACAGAGCATCTGTCCACATGTCTCCCAAGGGAGTGTCTGGTGTTATTAAGTTGTGTGTGTTCAAGGCTAGCATGTCTACCCAGATCTGCTGCCTAGACCTAGGGATGGGATAATTGAGGAGACCTCTGGGTAGGAATGATTGAAAATTTCAGAATTTTTATGTAATCTGGTCAGTTATACTTTATTTATAAAAATAACTTCTTTTTTTTTTTTTTTTGAGACAGAGCCTCAAGCTGTCCCCCTGGGTAGAGTGCCGTGGCATTACAGCTCACAGCAACCTCCAACTCCTGGGCTCAAGCGAGTCTCCTGCCTCAGCCTCCCAAGTAGCTGGGACCACAGGCGCCTGCCACAACACCCGGCTATTTTTTGGTTGCAGCCGTCATTGTTGTTTGGCGGGTCCGGGCTGGGGATTCGAACCCGCCACCTTAGGTGTACGTGGCTGGCGCCTTAGCTGGTTGATAACTTCTATAACCTCAGCAGCAAGGGTGCCAGCCACATACACTGAGGGTGGTGGGTTTGAATCCAGCCCGGGTCTGCCCAACAACAATGACAACTACAACCAAATAAAAAGAATAGCCGGACATTGTGGTGGGCGCCTATAGTCGCAGCTACTGGGAGACTGAGGCAAGAGAATTGCTTAAGCCCAAGAGTTTGAGGTTGCTATGAGCTGTGATGCCATGGCACTGTACCAAGGGCAACATAGACTCTGTCTCAAAAGAAAAATAAAATAACTTCTATTCATGAACCTTCAACTACAAGGTAAGTTGTTTCTTTTCTAGCTGTACTTGAAGGTTCTTTTCTACTATAAAACCCCATTAATCTGATAGTTAGAGATGCAAGAAGAACTTTCAGAGAACTTCTCGGGCATCTTTAACATGAATTTAAAAGAATATAGGTAGGAACAAGGAAAGGAAAGAAAAACTTAACTGAACTCAACAAGTTTTTTTAAACTTTTTTGTTTGTTTGTTTTTGAGACAGAGTTTGACTGTGTCGCCCTTGGTAGAGTGCCATGGCATCACAGCTCATAGCAACCTCAAAGTCTTAGGCTCAAGTAATTGGTTCTCTTGCCTCAGCCTCCCAAGTAGCCGGGACTACAGGTGCCCACCACAATATCCAGCTGTTTTTTTGTTGCAGTTGTCATTGTTGTTTGGCAGGCCCGGGCCAGGTTTGAACACACCAGCCTCAGTGTATGTGGCCAGCACCCCAACCACTTAACTACAGCACCAAGCCTATTTAAACTTTAATGATTAATACCGAACAGTAACTAACATAACTCCAATAATAGTTGTGTTTTTGTTTGTTTGTTTGTTTGTTTGCATTTTTTGGCTGGGACTGGGTTTGAACCCACCACCTCCAGCATATGGGGTCAGCGCCCTACTCCTTTGAGCCACAGGCACCACCCTATAATAGTTGTTTTTATGACTGCAATTTTCTAAGGGCTGGTTTATAAGCTTTGAGTTAGTTTGTTTAGCTCACTGGCTGGTAAATATTCTTTGTTTTTTTGTTTATTTTGAGACAGTCTTACTCTGTCACTTTGGCATTGTCGTTCACAGCAACCTCAAACTCTTAGATTTGAGCAATCCTCTTGTCTCAGCCTGCTGAGTAGCTGGGACTATAGACATGTTCCACTATGCCCAGCTAGTTTTTCTATTTATAGTAGAGACAGGGTCTTATTCTTGCTCGGGCTGGTCTTGAACTTGTGAGATCAAGCAGTCCACCCACCTCAGCCTCCCAGAGTGCTAGGATTACAGGTGTGAATGATACTTTTTTTGTCTCAGTCTTACCTTACAGAAGAGGGCAGCCCAAATGGCTTCCTCTCTCCAGGGTTCCTAGCCTCAAGCTGCAGCCTCCCTTTTCCTTTGGAAGGGGAAGCTGTCTGCTTTCTCCAAGCGGAACCATTTTAGTATTCCACTCTATGAGAAAGTAAAACCTCAAGCATAAAGTAAGCACCTTCTTAAACACTTGGGTACTAATTGCAGAGACTAAATTTATTAGTTCTCCTTTGTCTATTTTAAGAACAAAGTTGTAACTCCACACTTGATTGGGCTTTAAAAGTCTCCCAGCTCTACTTGCCCCAATCTGGGTTTTCTGTGGCCACCGGAGGAACAGTCTGCCACTCCAAACCTGAGACAGCATCTAGGGTCTACCATTTTCTTTCCCTAGAAGAAACAAGAAGGCACTGCTTACACCACCCTACTTCTGTGATCCTGCAGAAATCTTTGAAAACATTACTGTGCACTTGAAGCAGGTCGTGGATTTCTGATATCTTTTTCTTCTTCCTTTCCTGATCTTGTTCAGTGTTCATGGCATAGGTTTGGTGAAAGCTGCATATTACCTTGATGCCAGGACTCATGCTTATAATGCTAGCATTCTGGGAGGCCCAGCAGGAAGATTACTTGCACTCAGGAGTTCAAGACCAGCCTTAGCAAGAGTGAGGCACCATCTCTACTAAAAATAGAAAAATCAGCCTGGCATGCTGGCAGGCACCTGTACTCCCAGCTACTTGAGAGGCTGAGCCAAGAGGATCTCTTGAGCCCAGAAGTTTGAGGTTACAGTGGGCTATGATGACACCATTGTACTGTAGCCTGGGCAAAAGAGTGATACCCTGTCCCTGCAGCAAGAAAAGCTGCATATTAAAGATGTTTGGCCACACTAAAGACTTTCAGTTCTCATTTCTTTTCTCTTTTTTATAGACAGTGGTCAATAGCCTTTTCCATTTCTTTTAAAAGAGACTTGAGTATATAAAAGCATTGTGTATTTTCTGATTACAGAAGTACTAACATGCCTATTTTAAAAATGGGAACAGGAACATGAAAACATCAGTGGGAGCCCCTGGCAATGCCCGGTGATTCGCGTGCACACTGTTGACGTTGGCAGTTGACCTCCAGACTTGCGTCCTGGCTGTGTCCCAGACACTGACTCCATGTGGACTATCCTGCAGCGTGATGTTTTCCTTTAACTTAATGCATCCTGCACATTACTTCGTGTCAGTGCATGTAGATGTATCTTTTCAAACCTGAGCGGTAGTCCATAGCACGTATGCCCCTGATGTATTCCGTCACACACTCCCCACCCCCCAGGGCTCCTCCTTTTGCTTGTCCATGTGACACTTCTGCAAATGCCCTTGTCCTTGCAGTTTTCGAAGCCTTCTACTGACATTCTGTAGGATGCATTTCTTTTCTTTTCTTTTTTTTTTTTTGAGACAGAGCCTCAAGTTGTCACCCTGGGTAGAGTGCCGTAGCATCACAGCTCACAGCAACCTCCAACTCCTGGGCTCAAGCGAGTCAGTCTCCTGCCTCAGCCTCCCAAGTAGCTGGGACAACAGGCGCCTGCCACAATGCCCGGCTATTTTTTGATTGCAGCCATCATTGTTGTTTGGTGGGCCCTGGCTGGATTCAAACCCTCCACCTTAGGTGTATGTGGCTGGCACCTTAGCTGCTTGAGCCACAGGCACTGAGCTGGATGCATTTCTTAAAAGGAATTTGGGGATAAAACATTATGTATTATTTTTAAATCACCTTCCAAAAAAATATTGTGCTACTTAAATTTTCTACAACAGTGTAACTAATTTATCCTATCTCTTGAACATTCTAAAAATCCTGTTCACTTTCCTTTGTCAGCTTTTTGTCCATGTTATACTCTAGATTGGTGGTGTGGTTTCATGAATGTTTATGAAAATTGATCTTTCTGTCTGGCCTTATAACAAAGATCATTCTCAAGTCAATTTATCATAGCTAACCCTTCTGCTCTCACGTCGTTTGTCATTTTGTAATTTTCAGAAGACTTGCACCGTTGGTTCAACAGGAAGAAAACGTCTTCCAAGGAGGCCTGTGGGGCACCTGAGCCTCAGGAAGGCAGCTCCGAAGAGCACTCGCCTCTGAGCCAGTTTACCACAGTGGACCGCGAAGCCATGTGGGCCGAGGTGGAGAAGGAGCCCGAGAAGTGCCCCTTGAGAGGTGAGCTGAGCGAGGACGACCTGCCCTACTATGTGGACCTTCCAGACAGGACACCCCACAGTGGCCCAGACAGCAGCGAGCACACGGAGTCTGCAGACACAAGCTGTGGCCACACGGACAGCGAGAACACGTCCTCCTTCTCCTCCCCTTCCCACGACCCACAGGAGCTGAGCAATGAAGAACACTGCTGTGCGCCCATCCCCCTGGGGGCCCGGGCGTACCCCAGGCGCGCAGCCTTGCTGGCAGCCTTCCATTCAGAAACCTTCAAGTCCGGTGCCAAGTTAAGTCTGGTGCGGGTGGACTCGGACAAGACCCAGGCTTCAGAGTCGTTCTCCAGTGACGAGGAGGCTGACTTGGAGCTCCAGGCCCTCACCACGTCCCGGCTGCTAAAGCAGCAGCGGGAAAGGCAGGAGGCCATTGAGGCCTTGTTCAAGCACATCCTGCTCTACCTGCAGCCTTACGACTCGCGGCGGGTTCTCTACGCCTTCTCGGTGTTAGAGACCATGCTCAAAACTAACCCTAAGGAGTTCATCGAGGCCGTGTCCAAGACCAGCATGGACACCAGCTCCACTGCACACCTCAACCTCATCTCCAACCTCCTTGTTCGCCACCAGGAGGCCCTCGTTGGCCAGAGTTTCTACGGAAAGCTCCAGACCCAGGCCCCCAACGTGTGTCCCCACTCCCTGCTCCTCGAGCTCCTCACCTACCTTTGCCTGAGTTTCCTGCGCTCCTACTACCCTTGCTACCTGAAGGTCTCCCACCGAGACATACTCGGAAACCGTGACGTGCAAGTCAAAAGTGTCGAGGTTTTGATTAGGATAATGGTGCAGCTGGTGTCGGTGGCCAAGTGTTCTGAGGGGAAGAACATGGAGTTCATCCACAGTCTGCTGCAGAGGTGCAAAGTTCAGGAGTTTGTCCTCCTCTCACTGTCAGCGTCCATGTACACAAGCCAGAAGCGCTATGGGCTGGCCACTACCGACCGTAGCCGGGCATGGCCCGAGGACAGCGTCTTTGAGGAGAGTCTCATCAATTTAGGTCAGGACCAGATCTGGAGCGAGCACCCGCTGCAGATCGAGCTGCTCAAGCTCCTGCAGGTGCTGATTGTCTTGGAGCACCACCTGGGGCGGCTCCACGAGGAGGCAGAAAACCAGCCAGACCTGACCCAGGAGTGGCAGAAGGCCCTTAACTTCCAGCAGGCCATCAGCGCCACACAGTATGTGCAGCCCCATGCCCTCACCTCTCAGGGCCTGCTGGTGTCTGCAGTGGTGAGAGGCCTGCAGCCGGCCTATGGTTATGGCATGCACCCGGCTTGGGTGAGCCTGGTCACGCATTCCCTGCCCTACTTTGGGAAGTCCCTGGGCTGGACAGTGACACCTTTTGTTGTCCAGATTTGCAAAAATTTGGACGACTTGGTCAAGCAGTATGAAAGTGAATCTGTGAAGCTCTCTGTCAGGTATGTTGAACTCTTGGTGGCATCTTTATTAACCTTAATGAAGGTTTTTGTAATGAATGGCCATTTTGTCATAGATATAGTAGTCAGATGATAATTTCAACCAAATCCGAAGCCTATTTAGCATTGTCAAGAAGGAATACCAAGGAAGTAGATGTTCAGATTCTTTATTTTTAATTTCGCACAGCTACCCTAGCTAGCTCAGTGTTGCAGGGCAAGTCAGCTACTCTTCAGATTTTTTCTTTCTTTCTTTGAGACAGTCTCACCCTGTCCCCCAGGCTGGAGTACTGTGGCCTCATAACGCACCGCACAGCAACCTCAGTCTCTTGGGCTCCAGCGATCTTGCCGCCTTAGCCTCCCAGTAGCTGGGACTACAGGCACTTGGCAGAACACAAAGCTAGTTTTTCTATTTTTAGTAGAGGTGGGGTCTTGTTCTTGCTCAGGCTGGTCTCAAACTCCTGAGTTCAAACAGTCCACTCACCCCAGCCTCCCAGAGTGCCCGGATTACAAGTATGAGCCACTGTACCCCACCACTCTTCATTACTTTTCCAAAACAGAAATAAAAATGTTAATTGCCTTCACAAAAATTCTAAGACAAATTAAACCATATTTACAGAGCAATTCTGTGAATGTAAAGTAGCACAAAAGATAACTAACATTATTATAAAGATATTTCTTTTATGAGAACCTAAGTTTATCTAAGATAGTGACTTCTCTCTATATAAATTTGTACATAGAATTGAAAACCATTATGGATTTATCCACAATTCTCAAAACCAATTTCTCATTTCTTCACCAAAGCACAACCTCCAAGAGGGAAAACATTTCTCCAGATTATCCACTTACTCTTTTGGAAGGTCTAACCACCATTAGTCATTTTTGTCTTTTGGAACAACCCAACCAAAACAAAAAGGTAATTTTTATTCCTGAGTTCAAGAAAATTTTCACATGTTGTTTTGTCTTTGTTGGGTTGTGACTGTTTCACATAGCATATACATTTAAATGTAATGTATGTGAGTAATGTGTATGTGAGTGATGCAATTATGTGTGCAAATTGTACATGCATGCTATGCAAATGTGTATGCAAATGAATGTGAGTAATGCAATTGTATGTGTAGGTAATGCAAATGGGCATGAAAATGTATGTAAGTGTGCATGTGATGTACGTTAAGTGACACAAATGTGGTTGTGTTCTTGCCACACTAAAAACCGTATGGGATAAAATGTAAAGCCACTTAATTTGATTTTAGTCTTGTATTCGTGTTTTTCCATGAGTTTTTTTTTTTTTTTCCAGTTTTTGGCAAGGGTTGGGTTTGAACCCACCACCCTTGGCATATGGGGCCGGTGCCCTACTCCGTGAGCCACAGGCACTGCCCAGAGTTTTTTTTGTTTTTTTTTAAATAGAGACAGAGTCTCACTTTGTCACCCTCAGTAGAGAGCCATGGCACATGGCATCACAGCTCACAGCAACCTCAAACTCTTGGGCTCAAGCAATTCTCTTGCCTCAGTCCCCTAGTAGCTGGGACTACAGGTGCTGCCACAATGGCTATTTTGTTTGTTTGTTTGTTTGTTTGTTTACCAGGCCCCGGGCTGTGTTCAAACCCACCAGCTCCTGAGCATGTGGCTGATACCCTAACCAATGAGCTACAGGTGCCCCCTCCATGAGTTTTTTACTTGCTATCATGATGTTCTTGAAATCTGAGTTAGAAGTCTTTTAGCTGTTCATTGCTCTACCCTGTCTGGGATTAAGTCTTAGAGTACATCTAATGCTTTGGCTGAATGATTGCAAAAGTTTATAATTCAGAGCTTCAGTCTCACACCTGTTCCTTAAAAGAAACCCTGAGCTGAAATGTAGAATGGGAAGCATGTGCTTCCAGACCACCATGGGTGTGACGTGCTTGGGAGAGAGTCCAACAGCCCAGACTTAATCCTGCCTGCTACTTCCCTGGTAGGAAGAGAAACTTAAGCTTCCAAAGACACAGATGCATCTTCTGTATTTATTCAATTTTTAGAACACTGCCATAGGTGATCCTACCAACTTGAGAAATGCCAGGAATGCCATTTTAGAAGAGCTGCCTCGAATTGTTAACACCATGGCCCTTCTCTGGAACGTTCTCAGGAAGGAGGAGACTCAAAAGAGACCCGTCGATCTCCTGGGTTCCACAAAAGGATCCTCTTCCGTTTACTTCAAAACCACGAAAGTGAGAGATTTTCTCTGTGGTTTTGTCATTTATTTGGTCTTGTATTTTACCACCATATATATGTGTGTGTGTATATGTGTATGTACATATAGGAATACGTGTGAATAATCAAACAGATGAAACCCAAGTTGGAAGTAGAAACCTGTGGTTTGTTTATCATGAATAAGTTTGCTCTACCTAGACCAGTGAAATTTGAGCAATTTCAGCCGATTTTCTTATGTTTTTCCCTCTGCCTTTATTTTTTTAGCTAAAAATAGTCGATGGGGGTTGAGGTGGGCGCACCTGAGTCTTTGCCTGTGGATTATGTGAGGACTGTTTTGCTTATTTGTGGTAGTGGATATCATGAAAATTATGCATGGACTTTCGTTTCTTTTTACTCATCACCTTTGATTAGTGTTTGTGAATTTAATGTGTGGCCCAACCCAGCTCTTACTCTTTCAGCATGGCACAGAAAAACCAAAAGATTGGGTACTGCTGCAAGCATTATTTTTAAGACGGCTCATCTCAATGTTGTACCTTTAGTGGTGCCTCTGAAATGTGGGCCCATCAGGATGGAATGTTGAGGAAACTTTGAGTTATTAAAATGCAGCACACAGCCCAAGCCTCTGGTCCCCTCTGTTACTGTGTGTGGTGGCTCAGAATTATCTGCTGAATCTGACATCAGTTGAGTGAGTCCCCCACTGCCAGGTGTGGCCTCAGGGCTTAGGTGAGGGACCTGGTAGCCCTGTCATCTTACATTTAGGTCCTGCCATGCCTACGTGGCTTGGGTCAGTTCCAGGGGTGCCTAGAAGGGAATTCTACTGTATTTCTAGCTGCTACAAGGACCTGCCCTAAAAGATGTTCAGAAAAATCTGTGTTGCTAAGTGAGAACAAAGATTTTCTGAACGTTTTTAGAGTAGCTTCCTATACCACTCAGCCTCTCTGAGCATCGATTTCCTCATCTGTATAAGGAGTCTCTTGCTAGTATCCTATCTCATGGGCTGATAGAGAAATTCTTATAATTGCTAATTCTTATTGAGCAATTAACTCTTGGCCCTCCCCGAAGGACTCAGGGCCATGGAGAGAGAGCCCCAGTGGCGTCTCTAGAGCAGAAACCATGGTGGAATAGGGGGGCACAACTCCATGCCCTGCATCTAATGTGAAGTGAACACGTGGGTGTGAGGACAGAGGAAGTGCTCAGCAAGTCAGTTCATCTGACACAGGCTCTCTGGATAAGCCAGTGGACAAGATGGAGTCTCCAGGCTCAGCGCCTGTGGCTCAAGTGGCTAAGGCGCCAGCCACGTACACCCAAGGTGGCGGGTTCGAATCCAGCCCGGGCCCGCCAAACAACGACGGCTGCAACCAAAAAATAGCTGGGCATTGTGGCGGGCACCTGTGGTCCCAGCTACTTGGGAGGCAGAGGCAGAAGACTCGCTTGAGCCCAGGAGTTGGAGGTTGCTGTGAGCTGAGATGTCACGGCACTCTACCCAGGGGGACAGCTTGAGGCTCCCGTCTCAAAAAAGAAAAAAAGATGGAGTCTCCCACCTTGCAGCAGAGACAGATATTAGGCAGGGGAACGATGAGGAGGAGGAGGAGTGCTTCAGAGAAATGCTAAGGGCCCTGACAGGGTGTGAGCAGGACCCTAGCCTGGTCTAGAAGATGGGGCAACAAGCGGCGGGGAGAGGGGGAGTTTCTGAGGTAGAAGGACTGAGCTGAGACCCCAAGGTCTTAGGGGACTTAGGGGACTAGCTAAGAGGACTTAGCTAGGGCAGGGTGTTTCAAGCTGGGCAAGCCAGAGGATTCACAGAGCAAGGATTATGGGTAGGAACTGAGAATTTCTCAAAGGGAAGGTGGTGAGTGATGTGCAGGGCTATGTTACAGGTTTGTTTTAAACTGAGTAAATAATAAAATTAGTTATGTGGTACATATTTCTTAAAGCCAAGAAATAGCTTTTCTAATGACTATAAACTCTTCCTCGTTGATGGGATTTCTAGGCAGACGTCATGCTGACTCAGCTGCTTGGCTTCTCATGGGTCACTGGCCTCTGCTAGGTGTCATGTGGCTTTCCAGCAAGACCCTGCCCTGCTCATACTGCCCAGGGGTGGTATTTGTCACCTCCTGAGACCCTCCTGATCAGCTCAGCTGACCAGACGTCTCTGCACCTAAGCCACTCGATACACCTCCCATATGGCATGCTGTGCCACTGTCACACATCCAGCTCCTGTAAGGTGGGGCCCAACTCCTCCCTTTCTGGGGGTCTACCCAGCAGTGTGGCACCTTGGCAGGCTCTTGGTTGTTCTAGGAGGTGGTTGTTAAGTAAGTATAGAATATTACTCTATAGTAACTTTTTTCCCCCTGTTTTCTAGACCATAAGACAAAAGATTTTAGACTTCTTAAACCCCTTGACGGCCCATCTTGGAGTTCAGTTAACAGCAGCTGTTGCAACAGTATGGAGCAAAAAGAAAGCTCAGCGTCACAGCAAAATGAAGGTAGAGTTAAAAAGTTAAAGGAGTGATTAAACTTACTGACAAAGACCCACAAAGAAGTCACATGGGACAGACAAAGGTGACCAGGGAGGCCAACATGGGACACTAAGTATTTTCACTATTTATTTTTATTTGTATTTATTTTTATTTTTTTGAGACAGAGCCTCAAGCTGTCACCCTGGGTAGCGTGCCTTGGCATCACACCTCACAGCAACCTCCAGCTCCTCAGCTCAAGCGATCTCCTGCCCCTACCTCCCAAGTAGCTGGGACTGCAGGCGCCTGCCACAATGCCTGGTTATTTTTTGTTTGCAGCCATTGTTGTTTGGTGGCCCGGGTTGAAATCAAACCCTCCAGCTCAGATATATGTAACTGGTGCCTTAGCCGATTAAGCTACAGGCACCGAGCCTTCACTGTTTATTTTATTTTATTTTGGGGGAACAAGGTCTCACTCCGTCACCTGGGCTAGAGTACAGTGACATCATCATAGCTCACTGTAACCTCAAACTCCTCACCTTGAGAGATCTTCCCCTTCAGCCTCCCAGTTAGCTAGGACTACAGGCCCGCGCCATCAGGTTGGGCTAATTTTTATTACTTTTTTTTTTTTTTTTTTTTTTTGGTAAAGATGGGAATCTTGTGTTGGCTGTAATGTGTTGCCCAGGCTGCTCAGAAACTCCTGGCCCCAAGTGATCTTCCCACCTCAGCTTCCCAAAGCATTAGGATTATAAATTGCCCACTTTTTATCTGCTGACCAAGCCTCATCCTCCAGGGCTTGGTTCACCTGTTTCAACCAAACCACCACATTCTTGCTTTGTTCCCTCCATGCACCATTGAGGTTCCCACCTCCTTCCTCCTGCAGAAGGGCCTGCCTCACCCCCAGTCACTCCCTCGATGCTCGGCCTCTGTGGCCAATGCCGGCTCCCGCTCTCTAAGGAGACGAGTGAGCAGTTGGTGCCCAGGCCACCCTCCTTAGCACCTAGCAGTCCTTCCCTGCTGGCAAACCTATGCTGGTTGGCTTTCTCCCAATTTGTTTCCAGTACCAAATACTTTATTTCCACAGATGGAGTCCTTCACTCAGTTCAGTGGGAAATAGATACTTATGTAAAATATTAGCTCAGATTTCTTTCTGCAGTGACAACTAGTACAGAATGTTTTTTGTGTATCACTCTTGTTTTTATTTTCTCTCTGTGAGCTTTCATGGAATTTCTTTCTTTTCTCAGCAGATTGTCCCAGTGGCGAGTGCATCCCAGCTAACGCTTGTTGACTTGATCTGTGCACTCAGCACTCTGCAGACTGACACATTGCTGCACCTGGTGAAAGAGGTGGTAAAGAGGCCACCGCAAATCAAAGGGGACAAAGGAGACAAAGGAGACGAGGTGAGCAGCCTGGGGAATCAATCGGGTGGCATTCTTCATGACTCTGCTTCTTACAAGTGGAGTCTGGAAGGGAGGTGCGGATTGCCAGAGTAAGATGGAGCTCTTGGGGGTTATAAAATGACAGTGCTATTGCTTTGCTCTGGCGGACACCCTGTTAGGCTTCAGTGCCCCCTTTTTTAGGATGGGTGGGAAATGCTTGAGGTCCAAGACTGTGCCTCTCACCTTCTGTGCAACGAGTGGAATAAAATCTGTAGGAAGAGGAGATGGCATCTGCCTCAAGGAACTTATAGCCTGACAGGTGTCAAAGATAAACAAAGCCTGATTGTAACTGAAGGTGGTGAAGCAGATGTGATTGGGAAGCTACTGCAGTGAGCTCTGGTCCACTGATTTGGGCAGAGAATACCAGAAGGGGAATGAGGAGTGGGGAGGGACAGAGCAGCGCCACAGAGGGAGTGGAAAACCACAGAAAAGCAGGAAGGGGGTGGGCTAGTCATTGTTGTAAGTGCTTGAGCCATTTGGGTCTGCTCACTGAGGCTTATGAGTTAGGCTTCGGAGCCCTCCCACAGAAGCTGAAGACAGAAGTCTTATCTTTCATGATGATTATATTTCAAAGGGAAGCCTCCCAGGTCCTTGAGAAAGACATTCCTGAGTCATGGGAGTCACACAAACCTCTGAGAGACAGAGGGGATATTTATCATTTTAAGCTTCTCTTTTTTCCCCTAAACAAATGCTCTAAGCAGGGGAAGCTGGGGCCTGTGGAAAGCTGTTGGCAGGAACAAACAGTAAATTATTTTGGCAACCTTGGGCTCCCTCGGGCAAACACTTTAAGGGGAGTGGTATCCTCATCCACAGATACAGCCTTTCCTGGTAGACTGGTGCTAAAAGATGCAGTCCTTCCAGCCAAGGTCAGTACCTAGTCAAGGAGAGAGCTCAGAGGAGCACTGCTAGAGTTGGGTTAAGGGCAAGTCAAGGGCAAGTTTAAATTTGTGTGATTATTTATAAAAAGCACAAAATAAATGTTAGAGGACATAATTCATGCTACACACTTGGAGAAAGAAGACATTTATCTGTCTGCTGTGAAGGCTTCCAGGGAATATCGTCAAACCAAGAAGCTCCTAGGTTTTTTGCCTATTTCTGCAGAGCAAGTGAGGGGTTTGTGTTGGAGAAAGACCTTTTTCAATTATTCAAATGGATTTGAAACAGGACAGACTGTGTGGTTTAACATTTTTATACCCATAGAGGGTTTTGCTTTTGATTTTTACCAAAACAGACCTCATTAAAAGTACAGGGGCTGTTTTGCTCTTAATTAATTTAATAGAAACCAGAATTTATTTCAATCTTGAAATAATTGCCTTCCCATCAAATAATTTAAAATTACACAGTTAATAAAAATTTGAAAATAAGTGGCCAGGCACGGTAGTTCACACATGTAATCCTACAACCCTGCAAGACCAGGGCAGAGGATCCCTGGAGCTCAGAAGTTTGAGACCAGCCTGAGCAAGAGTGAGACCCCCGGTTTACTTAAAGTAGGAAAAACTAGCCAGGCATTGTGGCAGGTGCTTGTAGTTCGAGCTACTTGGGAGACTGAGGCAGGGGGATCGTTTGGGCTCAGGAATTTGAGATTGCTATGAGCAAGGCTGACACCATAGCACTCTACCTAGGGCAATAGAGTAAGATTCTGTCTCAAAAAGGAAAAAAAAAAAAAAGAAAGAAAGAAACTGAAAATTATTGGAATGGAAAATTAACGGAAAAGAAATTATTAAAATATACACTTTTACTCAGATATTTATACACCTGTGTTCACTTCATTATTTACAATAACCAAAGGGTAGAAATGATCCAGGTGTATGCCGGTGGCTGTGTGGATACTAAACTGAGATGTGTGCCTGCAGTGGGATGGTATGCAGCCTTAAAGATGGAGGGGACTCTGACTCATGAATGAATCTTGAGGACATTATGTTGAATGAAACAAACTACTCACAAAAGGACTAGGCCTCTTCTTTCATATTGAAAAAACTGGTCAGGAGTCGGTGCCTGTGGCTCAAGCGGCTAAGGCACCAGCCACATACACCTGAGCTGGTGGGTTCGAATCTAACCAGGGCCCGCCAAACAACAATGGCAGCTGCAACCAAAAAATAGCCAGGCACTGTGGTGGGCACCTGTAGTCCCTGCTACTTGGGAGGCGGAGTCAGGAGACTCACTTGAGCCCAGGAGTTGGGGGTTACTGTGAGCTGTGATGCCACTGCACCCTACCCAGGGGTACAGCTTGAGGCTGTCTCAGAAAAAAAAAAGAAAACTGTTGAGATTGTTTATTACTCTCTCACTTAAAAGGTATCAACAATCAACACAGAAGACTTCTATTATGTGAGGATTACTCCCTGCTGGGAAGTAAGCTATCAGTTCTTTGGGGGACACCAGCTAGGTATTCTCCAGTTCAGTTCCCACACTGTCAGGCAGAGCCACATGACCCCATCCCCAGGAGCTCACCCCCGAGCCCCTGACTGGCCAGCTACAGGTTGGGGTTCCCATTACCCCCCCCCCCCTTTGGGTCTGGTGAATTTGCTGAAGCAGCTCACAGAATTAGGGGAAACACTGACTCACATTTCCCAGTTTATCATAAAGGATATTATTGGTTTGGCAGTCTGTTCTGTGCTCTTGGCTGAATAATGAGCAGACGACAGGCCCCATCTGATTGGCCCCCCTCAGGTGTTGCCATCCAGCCACTTCAATGACATGGAGTTAGCCTTAGGTTACTCTGGGTCACTTTCCAGGCCTTTTTGTGCCAGGAGCCTGCTAGGGAATTTCCTGTTGCAGATCGCAAGGAACTCCTCCTTCCCCCAGTGGTGGCAGTTGCTTGGGGCAACATCAAGGCAGGGGGCACCCTTGTTCTTCCTCAGGAGGAGCAGTTGCTTGAGACAGCACCAAGGTGGGGTGCCTGCTGGAATCCTCACTATCTACCTAACGGGTCTGGGAGAGAGATTCTGTTCCCTGAGGCCTAAAGTGCTCAGTAACTCCAGAAGTTTAACAAAAGACTGTGGGAGTTAGGAACTAGTTACCATGGCCAAGAAGAGGTGTAAGTGTATCATATCCCAGTGGTCTAATTGCATTTATATGAGAGATCTAGAGCAGTCAAGTTCATAGAGACAGAAAGTAGAAAGAATGGTGGTTATGGTGGTCTGGGGCACAGGAGAGGGAGTCTCAGCTCAGGCTGGTGAAGTCCTGGAGGTGGACTTTGGTGCTGGCTGCACAGCAGTGCGAATACACTAAGTGCCCCTGAGCTGTGTGCTTGAAAATGTTTTTAAAATGGCAAGTTTACGTATTATCTCTCCACGATAAAGAAGTTTTCATAATATAAAAAAGGAATATCATTTTAGATTTTAAGGGCATCTCAGTGGGGATGGTTGAGCAAAAGCTGAACTTAGGAGTCAGAGACTCTTTTTTAAGCCATTCTTTTACCCCATCGTGGGAAAAGTGACCCAAGAATCTCTTCAGCAGTTTTTATAGATGTGCTTGCCTTGGAGTAGAACTTTCCGTCCCCGGAATGGGCCTTGCAGGTGGCTCAGGCCCTGAGGGCTCCACACTGTCCCTTGTCCTCGGGGCACTGATCCTGTCATTCCAGTGTTTATTGAACATGGAGTGGTAGGGGATTCTAAATAGAGGGAATCTATTCCTACCCTCAGTCCACTTGTATTCCAGTTCGGAAAAGTAGTAGAAAGAGAAGGGAAGCCGCCCTAAAAATTAACACTGAGAGGCCAGGTTGTGGGAACAGCCGACTGCCTAATGGGATGTGAAAGGACACTTAGGGCTTCCACTGGCGGTGGGGGCTCTGCCCTCGGGCCTCCAAGCATGTGGTGTTGGCCTGTTGCGTTTACTCTTGTATATAAATGTTAATGATAGAGGCCAGGAGAGAGGAGCAGGGGTAAAGGGCAGTCAGATCCTCAGCCAGTTGTATTTATGGCTCTGAGCAAGTCTTTGGCAGCAGGAAATGACCCTCCAGCCAGTGGTCCATGCCGCCTGCTGGCTTTGCTGCCACAGAAGCCCAGGGAGCTGTCCTCCTGCCCCGGCTTTTACAAACACAGGATGTTTTTAGATTTTGTTTCTTTAATTTCTATAAATATCTGCAATTTCTAATCTTTTCTAGGCTAAAAAGGAACTAGATCTCATCTGGCTGACTGGTTTTTGGCATTAGCTCCACTTCTGCAAATAGCTTTTTACAAACCAGGAGTGAGAAAAAAATATATGTTTTAGAAGAACCAGTTTCTTTCTTTTTTTTGAGACAGAGTTTCACTTCGCCCTTGGTAGAGTACTGTGGTGTCACAGCTCACAGTAACCTCCAGCTCTTGGGCTTAGGCAATTCTCTTGCCTTAGCCTCCTGAGTAGCTGGGACTATAGGCTCCCACCATAATGCCCAACTTTTTTTTTTTTTTTTGAAGTTTTTGGCTGAGGTCGGGTTTGAACCCACCACCTCCAGTGGTATATAGGGCCAGCGTCCTACTCCTTTGAGCCACAGGCGCTGCCCACTGTTTTTTGTTGTTGTTGCAGTTTGGCTAGGCCTGGAGCGATCTTTCTGAGTAGAGTGCCATGACGTCATAGCTCACAGCAGCCTCCAAATCTTGGGCTCAAGCGAGTCTCCTGCCTCCACCTCCCAAGTAGCTGGGATTACAGGTGCCCGCCACAACACCTGGCTAATTTTTTTTGGTTGCAGCTGTCATTATTGTTTGGGGGCCTGGGCTGGATTCGAACCTGCCACCTTAGGTGTATGTGGCTGGCACCTTAGCCTTTTAAGCCATAGGCGCCGAGCCAGGGGAACCAATTTCTAAGTAGCTCCAGCCACTTGGGATTTAGGAGAGTTGTCTGGGCTGGGTGTGAGGGAATCTTTTAAGCTAAGAATGAGAATACTGGCCCCTACCTTTCTGTTCAGGAAAGTTCACTTCTGATGCCAGATTTTCCCTAAAGGCTTGTTGATAGTCTGGAATGGACAGTAGGTAAGCAGAATGAGAAATCACCATAGAAGTCTACTGAGGGGCCACTGATAATTTGGGAGCTCAGGGGATATGCTTGTTTTCATTGTGTGTGAGGGATGCTATTACATCTGTTGTTATATGTATCTAAAAGGATTCCTTGGCTGAAATCTTTTGCTTGGTTAGGATGCAGATCTGTTTCATGTTTGAATTCCTTTTTAGCCTATTTCCTACCAACGTGGAGTAATTGGTTTTGCTTAAATTTTCAGAAATCGCCCCTCGTGGATATCCCTGTGCTGCAGTTCTGCTATGCTTTCGTCCAGAGGTAATACAGTCCCCGCAAACACTCTCCTAAATTACAGGCGCTATTGCAGTGGCTGTGAATAACAGCTGTCTTTATTTCTTGATTCTTGGAAAGCCCTGGTTCAGAAAATAGCTTAAACTTTTCTTAATTTCTTCCCAAGGCATAGAAATGCCCTGATGATCTTTACTTTTCCTTCTCCAGAGATCCGATGTGATGTTTTGAAATGCATGTGCTCTGTGTTGATCCCTTTATGTCAGTGAAGGATTATATAAGGCCTGTCAAATTGTAAAAGATTCAGATGTCACTAAAACCCACACATAGGGAAGTGCTAAAGACCTCTTTCAGGAAAAAGAGAAATGATTCTTCTTGGTGGTGTTCTCAACACCTGCCTATGTTTTTTGCTGGATGGCTTCGGTTCTGGTTGACTGACCTTACTGTCCTTATGAAGCAGTCTCATCTAAAGGCGGTCTGGAAGGGGGACTCCACAAATTTTTCTGCTGTGGGAATGTTAGAATCAACATTGGCCCCCAGCTTTCTGTTTGGGGAAATTCAGTTATGATGCCAAAGACGCTTTACTGGGCCTTTTTCACACCCCAAGTGCAGCTCACAGACACCTCCTCTGTGCGGGGCTTTCCCTGTGGCAATGTGAGGGGCAAGGGTGTGGACCACCCTTTCTCCAGAAAGCCTCCATGTCCTTACAGACCCATCAGGAGTTTCATAGTAAATAATTCGGACACCCAGGTGTGGTCTCCTTGGCTCACACAGATAACATTCCCTAGTTACTTTCACTCACTGCGTCCTGAGGTTACAGGAAAGTAAGCTGAGGGCCATAGTCCCAGGAGTCCCTGAGTGTTAGGGTTTAAATCCAGACCAGGCATTACTCCTTCATCAAAAAGCATCTTTGTAGAGATGACTTGGTATCCTGAGGCCTTCCTCATGATAGCGAATACTTATTATACTAGCCAGCGTACATCATAGTGGCCTAAGTGATACCTGAGCTTTCTTGGAAGCTTCAGGTTCGATTTTTATCATTCTCTTTCTGCAGAGGAGGAACTGCCAAGGCCACACAGGAGGAGGTAGGTTGGACAAGCAGGACTTGGACCTGTGCTGCCTCACTTTGTGACAATAATCTCAGTACCCTCGCTGCCCGTGAGGCTTGCTTGAGAGCTACCATAGAAGGGAAACCACTTTCCTGGTGGGAAGGCCCTGGCCTAACACTTTGCAGCCTTCTGCCAGATGAAGCCATGTTACCAGCCACACTGGGAAGCAGAATGTTACTACTAGAAAGGCCCAAGAGATCAAGCTCGATCATCCAGCTTAAAGCTTATTTCATTTACAGACAAGAAGACCAGAGTATTGCCCCTGTTAGCAGCAGGATTTTAGGTCCCCAAACTTGACGTGGTCACCAGAATACCAAAATTATCTTGTGTGTATTATAATAAAAAAAGAAGAAACGGGTCCTTCAGGTATGCTGTTCCCCTCTGCTTCCTAACTGCCAGGATCCTAAATGTGCTTCTAAACAAATGTTATTTTGACTTGTTCATAGATGTTTTTTCCTATTTTTTAATAGGCTCCCAGTTACAGCCTTGCAAGAGAACTTTCCTTCCCTGTTGGGAGTGTTGAAGGAATCCGTACAGTTGAATCTTGCTCCTCCTGGATATTTTCTGCTTCTCAGGTAACGTGTCCCCACATTGGCAGCGACGTCGTGTTTTTCTATTGGGACCTATTTTATTTCTGCAGCATTTTTGATCTGAAGCTGCTTGTGTCTCAACAGCATGCTGAATGACTTTGTAACAAGGACTCCCAACCTGGAAAGCAAGAAGGATCAGAAAGATCTGCAGGTCTGTACTGGAAAGAGTTCAGCAAAACGCTGCTGAGTAGCATCGTCTGCCTTTAGGGACAGCAGACAGGGACTCAGCCAGAGTCTGAGCTGAGCTGTGCGTTTGTTCTCAAGTCTCACTTCCTCTGCTGCTATCTCTGGGGGTTTTCTGACGAAGGTTCTGTGTGAAGGTTCTGTGTGATGCTTGAGCAGCTGACCGTGGGATTTACAAGCGCCCCTCCCCCTCCCCATTGCACGCAGTGTGCAGAGCTCACTGGATAACTGGGATTAAAAAAACTCCCTCAGCACATGGCTTTCCTGCCTTAAACCCTTTTTCCCCCCTGTTGTAAAAGCTATTCCTATTCATAGGAAATTTTGAAAATACTGAAAAATAAAAATAGAACTCACCATAGGAGGAAAACCTTCTCAGAGGAGAGTGCTGACTAATCAACATGGAAGTCACGTGGAGCTGGAAAACTCAGTTTTGTGGCCATGATAGATGTTGATTGAGTCAGTGGCTTTTGTGTTGATGTTTTTTCCTAGGCACTGAGAGACTTTGTATTAGTCTTACAGCCTTGGCAATACTGCTGCTAATTGTAATAGTTATGGTCCTTGGCATTTGTAAAAGGTATATCAGGAAACATCCTCATTTCCCTAATTCTGAACCATGATAGTACTGTACAAAGCATAGTGAAGTGTCATTAGAGAATTCAGGTTCCTTCTTTGACCTTAATTGGCAGACAGAGAAGGAAACGTCATTGCAGTGCAAACGCTGCTCTTGCCTGTGCTTGGGAAGCACTGGCCTGGCCCCCTTGGCAACCCCTGCCCCTTTATGGCCTGTTACCTAGAGCAGGGCCCTCGCTCTTCAGTCCACCTGGGCAGGGCTTTGGCCACAGGCATTGCCTCAGTTGTTACAACTGGCACATGTCTTCTCTGCTCCTTCTGGTTAGAGGGGCTAGGGTCACCTGCTTCTGTCTCGTGACCGCTGCCTTCTTGACACTGAATGTTGCCAGAAGGGTCTCACGGAAAAGCGATGTCGCAAAGAATAAGCACACTTATTGAAACTGTGTTTTAAATAAAGGTGACCATCTGCTCGCTCAGGCAAAATGGCGAGCTTTCTTTATTTGCTGCTGGTTTATATAGGCGAACTTGTGCATGCGTACTATACAGCAATGACCTCATTAATCCATTTATTATAATCCCTCTGCACATGTGCATTGGACATCAGTGACTTCATTAATCCATTTAAACATCTTATGACCACCTACCCCGTAAGTAGCTCCTCTCTGATAATCTGATAATCCACCCAACATACACCTTTAAGCATAATCCTTTGAACATAACACAGTTTAACATAACTTAATTAAGAACATGTTGTCAGTTATTACTTTCTTTGTTCTTAGCTGAAGAAGCCTGAGGCTGCAGGGGAAAGAGAGGATTTGAATGTCTGTTCTACTAACCATGCCATTTGGAAACCTATTGGTCGTACAGGAATTTGTGTGCAAACCTCTGCTCTCATGTAGGCCTTAAGTCAGGGGGAGTTTTGCTGGAGCCTTTTACAAGGAATGCTCAGGCTGGAATTCTCAAAAGCCTTTCATGAGCCCAGGTTTCATCTGTGTCATTAGATACCTATATGACATTACCATTCCCAGACCTGTCAGCAAGCAACCTTTGTCACTTAACACGGATCAGGAAAGGTTACTGATGGGTGTCTGGCCAGTTTTCCAAAGGGCTTTTTCATTGGCCTTATAAAATCAACTGTAATTCCTTAACACAGTCTGGAAATGTCATTCCACCAAAGCCTTGGTCATGTTAGGCCCACAACTGACCTGGCCACCTGGGATTCTGCCTCAGTTTCTTTTTTTTTTTTTTTTTTTTTGTCTTTTCAGGACGGAGCCTCAAGCTATCCCCCTGGGTAGAGTGCCATGGCATCACGCTCACAGCAACCTCCAACTCCTGGGCTCAAACGAGTCTCCTTCCTC